CCATGCCATATCATTTTAACATAAAAAGCGCTCAATAATAAATGGCCTGATGTGGTTTCAAAATTGCGCCAAAGGGCTTTGTTAATTTTGTGATGTAGCACGATAGCCGCAGGCTCATTACTTTCTATATTTCGTTTATAATTAATGCTGTTCTCGTTTGTTCAATCGGATTCTCAAGTTCCTACGTTAACTAAGAAAAGTAGAAGAAATAGTACAAAACATACAATCTTTAACAGGCAAAACTATGTATTTTGTGAATTTTGAGCGGAATCAACAACAAGGAGATTTCTTTGATCTTGTTAAGTTCTTTCGTTTTCTTTGATTGTACCGAAACATTTTGATCATATTTAAAGAGTTACAGAGTTACAGAGAATTTTTGCGCCTATGCAGTGCAGATATCTGGCTCTTAAGGGGAAATCCACAGAAAAAATAGTACAAACCAACCAGAAAATTAAATTGTCTTTTCCAGGATTTCAAAATCCCGTTTAGATTGCTTGAGAAATCGCAAGGTCGCGAATGATGTCAGTTTAGATATAATCAAGAATTATGGGAAAAGTGAAATGTTTTCCACTGCCAAAATATTGGTTGAGACATTAAAGTTTTTCCGAGAACGCCTGAAAAATCAGTTGCCCGCGGAATAGGAGAACGGTCTTCGTGTAAACATAGCACATCCTCGAGACAAATCATTTTTTTTGAAAACATATAGCATTCAACTAGAAAAGCTGCTACAAGACATAATGAAAAAAGGAACGTTGCGAAAATGAAACTGCAGAAAAGGAAAGTGGGGAGAAATATTAAAGCAGTTCACTCGAACAAGGGTTTGGGATCAAACAGCCAAAAAGTTTAAGAAAACAAAAACAGCGAACAGCAGGAAATAGAGGACATTAAAATCAGATAATCCAATCGGCCGATAAATGATGAACTAGCTGAGTGTTCTTCCCGTGTACGCGGAAGCACCTGGCTGCAAAGGACAATTGTCTGCTTTCATAACAAACTACTCATCCGTAATCGCTTCATCAGCATTGACCATGTAGAGAAGATTTGTAAATATGGCTGGGAGAATCAGAAAAAAGTACCAATTGTGTAACGTAAACTGTCAAAAGCGTCCGCAAGTTCAAAAGAAAGATATAATCAAAGACTTGTAGAAAATACTCACTGACTTCAAATATGGTACGTTTCTAAGCACCATTAAAGGTGTTTTTTTGTTCATGAAAACCATTCACTAAAGGTACTGTTTCTTGAAACAAATCAGAATCGGCTAAAAAGAAACTGAAATTTTAAATCAATCAAAGCGAATCCATATTCATCATGAAGGTTAATAATTCTTTCGACATAATATTGGGAAAGGTGACAAATAAATATCTATGAAGATAAAAAAAACTTGAGGAATATCTGCAAAAAATAGTAGGAATCACTTGCATCAAAATTTATAAATGAAGCCGAGAATGACAAGAACATGCGTTCAAAAGCAAACAAAAAATACAGTTTTATAGTTACATCATGCGGTTATACAGACACTAGTAGGGAAAACGGAGTTCGTAGATCAACACCGCGATGAAACGCCTAGAGTCAGAGAGCGTTCACAGCGATTTTTGATAATGCATGCCATTTGAAAATGAGAAGGTGTGTGTGTGTGTATGTGTGTGTGTGTGAGAGAGTGTGTGTGTAAGTGTGTGTGTGAGAGAGAGAAAGAGAGAGATACTGTGTGGGCGCATGTGTGCACGCGCGCGCGCGTGTGTGTGTGAACTAATGCAGGATATAAGAAAAATACGAAACCAGCAAGGCAACTAAAACAATTAAAGTCATCAACAGAAAAAAAATCTGAAACAAAAGAAAACAAGATTGCTCGATCAGGGGAAGGACCGAAGGTCCCGTCCGCCTCTTAAGGTCTGTGGAGCAGTAATAACTTGAAAAAAAGTAACAAAATAAAGTGAAAAAAAAAATTAAACTTGAGAACTTTTTTGTGAAAACCATCCTGCCACCCACCATATAAAGTACAAAGTAATAAATTTTGCTATTAGGAAATCTATTTGTACAAATAAGCTTCCCTTAACCAATTTGGAACAATTCATAAGACTGCTTAAACCTCCGTATACTCGTTAATAGCGCGAAATATATCTCGCGTTAATTGTCTCAAATTAGCCAGAATGGCAATAGTTAAACCCCCATAACTTTACAAAAAGTGATTGCAGGTGAATTATATATTTTTTCAAATTTAAGCTAAGAACAACAATACGCTTTGAATAATGTTTAAAAAGATTCGTCGAAGTCGGCTAGATAAAAAAAAACGAAAAATGTCTGAAGAAAAATCCCAACCCGAGCACAAAATTTCCTTTAATTTTGTTACGAAAGTCAGAACAAAAACATTCACAACAGTGCTCAACAAAATGCTTGAAAAAAACGCAGTGCAATCAATCCAGCCAGTACACGCACACACAATTTAAGATTTAAAACGAATAAAAAAAGGTCTGATACGCAATCATCAGAGAAAAAAGGCGCTTAATAGGTTACGAGAAACAAACCAGCAAGCGAAGATCAAACATAAATTTGCAAGAATCAAGAAAAAAAGGAGATCCAATAACAATCAAGAGAAGAGAGTATGGGCTAGCTTCTAAATCAATACGATGACTTTAAGTTGATTTAAACATTGGACAAGGGATCCGTTTCTCGAATAACATCATCAAATCACTGACTAGACACAGATGAAGATAGGCCTGTTGCTGCTCAGACGATCATGATATATCTAGATTATTTGGAGATAGGTAAACTCTTCTTATGTCAGCATAAAATTGCGTGGAAAAGACTACAAGGTAGGACCTGGCATTTTAAATCAGAGAGTAGGGGAGAACCATGGAATCAAAATAAAATCTGAGAGAGTCGGCTTGACTAATATCAGAGGGCTTTTATAAAAAAACTTTAAGCACGGCCATTAAACAGAAACAAAACCAGAACATATGGCCCGCACGTTTTGTTTCAATGCAAAAAAGACAAGCAGGAAATGGTCATATCCAATTTTTTTTCAAAAACTTCAAGAAGACAAAACTTCTTAATTGAGTTTATTTCGATGATAAGCGTGATACTCTTTTATGTTTATTTGATAATCACATATAGTGTTACGTCCTTTTTATATCTCACGAACAGAACAAATCATTAGCATTCTTTTAGATTTCAACAAGCAAATGAACAAAAAAAATTCTCGTTTGTGTCGTTTTCTCAACTATTTCAAATAAATGTGATTTTGCAAATCTAAAAAAGTATTAAGTTTAATAAAAAACTTGATACAAGATAAAATAATTGTCTAAGACCATTAAAAAATTTTGGTAAATGGTTTTGATGTAGAGTTGGAAATGTGATTTGGAAAGAAAAAAATTAAAACATAAACGTAAGATGCTTTCAAGTATCAAAACATAAACAAGAAACAACATATTGGTTACAATGTCTGAAAAAAAAGAATTTTCATCTAGGAAACCACTTAACTAGCCATTTTTTTTGTTTTGCGAATTGTAACAGAATACCGTTATAAGACCGCCCTCTTCGATAATTCTTTTATCCTGTTTCCTTTCGTCTGGCCGACAAAATTTTGGCGATATCAATTTACTTCAAGTCTAATCCCTGGATTCCACTGACCTATACAAACCAGAAAAGGCTTCTATGTACCCGCATCGAGCGCCCATGGATTTTAATTGATTAAAATGGATTCCCGAGACAAAAAAAATCGATTATAATCCATTACGGATGTAAAATTTAGACAACGAAATCGATTATATAGCCATTATAATCGATTATTTTTGAACGAATATAATCCATTATAACCCACTCAAATCGATTGTAATCCATTATTTTTGTCCCTGAAATCGATTCTTTTTGCCAAGATAATCCATTATAATAGATTATTTTGAAATGAAAATCCATTATAATCCATTATAATTGATTATAATCCATTTCATTTTTAGAACTAAATTCGATTGTTTTTTAAAAAAATTTTGCAAATTTTGCGAGAAGTTTGCAGAATTTATGCCCTGTTTTTTTTACTAAATGCCATGTCTCAACTTCGTCCCCTCGCCCCCTCAAGCTTCTTAAACACCGCCACCCCCCCCTCTCCCCAACTAAAGGGGCAAGGTAAACTGGAGGGGGTGGGGTAAATGATGGGAGGGGGGTAAACTGGGGGGGGGGGGGGGGGGGGGGGGGGATAGTAAACTGGTCGGTGGTAGTATACTGGGTACTGGGGGCTTAACTGGCTGGGGGGGGGGGGGGTAAAATGAAGTGGTGTTAAACTGCGATGAATTAGAAAAAGTAGAGACAAAAATAGATAATTTTTTTCTTAAATGTAACTTAAATTTGAAAATTTAATGAATAACCCCTCGTTTTTTGGGATAAAAAAAATTAGGATTATAATCCATTTTTAATAGATTATAATCGATTATTTTGTATTTTTATAGATGCTGACCATATTTTGACAATATAATCGATTATGATCCATGGGCGTTCGGTGCGGGTAATACAGAGTTGTGTTATGTAATTTTTTTTCTGAAAAAATTGTCAAAGAAAAAAAAGTTTCATCAGGAGTCAAACTTTTCAAATCCGCAAAAAGATTGCGGAATCAAAAAAAAGTTGCGGAATTTAGGAATCCTAGAAACCACAAACAAATTATAACATGAATATCGTAAAATTAAACTAACGTGAAGTCCGCAGCTGTACGCGGAATCCGCGAACTGTAAAAAAAACCCGCGAACTGCAAAAAAAAACCCTGCCGAATCTTAATACATTTAAAAACATTCGCTTACAATTTTGCAAATTCCACTTAGGATTCCAATGATCTTCATACAATATATTAAAAGCCCATCGAGTGCACAGTTTTGCCTCGTAACGTGAAAATGTCTTAAAACGCTGAATTGAGTGAAACAAGAGAAAGACGTTAAATTTGATGTCCTGGTTAGTGATTTCCGAGAACCCAAACACCACAAAAGTTCTGCCTTTAATGTTTTCTTTCTGTATTTTAGAACGACCATCGACTGCAGCTTCAATTGCATCATCCACTGTTCCTTACATAGAACTCCAGTCTGTCGTTTTCTGCGAGAAACATCCCGAAGAAACCGTTCGCTATTTTTGCAATATCTGCAAAATAGCGATATGCGAGCTATGTTGGAAGCAGAATCATATGGATTGGAAGAAGCATAACGTAAGTTTTCTCACTGTGAATTTGGAGCCCCAGAAGTTAACCATGCAGCGACTGACAGAATATAAAGACGAAATTGAAAAAACATCTCAAGTTCTGGCTTCCAACGACTGGAAAACAATAGTGAAACAGATAACAACAGCTGAAAACGAACAAAAGAGCGTTTTAAAGTCAAATTCCGCTAAGCAGCTTGAAGACAAGTCTGCAGCCGTAAGAAAACAGCTTTTGGATCACAAGCAATCCCTGCAAGCTTTCAAAGCAAAAATAACGGATCAGTTCCGCGAATTAGAACAAAAATATGCCATAATTTTTGGAGAATTCATTCTGACTAGAGATAACACGGTTTCCTGCTCCAGATCGCAAACTGCGTTTGCAGAAGGCGGTTACTCATCACTTGATGCAGAAAATTTTGCGAGTGGGGTTGACAGACTTGTTCTGAGTGCAGGAACTTCAAATCAGGAAGTTTCTACTAGTTTTGATGATTCACAGGGTGAAGCAGAGAGGATAAATCAGAAAGAGAAAAAACCTGGAGAGGAGGCAAGGATGAGAGAGTTGATCGGAGTAGAGAAAATTGCAGATGCAAGCGGAACAGTTATTGACGCTCTTAGGGTAGTTTATAACTCAGATACGGAGGAGATAATAACAGATTATGCAGAATCATTCCGTGTGTTTCAACATAACGAAAACAGTAATCAGATAGAACTGAAAAGAGAGATGGAGTGGAAGCAAATGCGAGATGATACAATTTCTGTGATTGATATTGCCACAGACATCGACAATAATCTTTATGTGTCATTATATAGAACAAGCGATCGGAAATGGAGTGTTGAGATTGTGAATCAGAATAATCTAAAGATGATAAAAGAACTAGACACAGCCCAACTTCTCAATGGATATTCTTCAGTGGATTGGTCTTTGTGTACATATGAAAAGATCTTAATAGTGGCAGTGTTCGATAGGAGAAATAAGAAGCAGGAGAAATGGTGCAGTATTACAGTCTACTTCGATCAAATCAGACAGTACACGGTACCACTTGATATAAAGACAGTCGGAAGCAGGGTTTGGAGGTGTAGTAATCTTTTTGTGAATGATACCACGTTGATACTCAACTGTGGCGCGGATTCAAACAAACTAGCAGTGATATCTCTACCATCACATCACAAGGAAGATATGAAAAGAAACACATCGTCAAATACAACAACACGAGAAATACAACCTCGTTCTATTAAATATGTGAGGCTCTCTGGTTTGAGTGACATTTACTCCTTGGTTTGGATACCCTCATCAGTGTTTGGTTTCTCAAATGGTCTAAACGGGTATCTATTTGTGACGGATTATTCTATGAATGCTACTTTCTTCAGAATTGACTTTGAAAAAGAGTTGGACCAGCTGGAAAATGAAGGAGAGACTGAATTGAAGAAAATGGAGGAAATTCCACCTCTGAAAAATACAATTGTTTATTCCAGAATAGACAACTCATCTGTGTTTGCGCTCTCTGAAACTACTTATCCCTATAAGGGTAACCCAAGTATTTTGAAACTTGAGTTCGAACCAAGATTCACATTGCCATAAATTCCTCAATTTAAAACAATGCAGTGAATTATTTCAGACTCTCCATTGCATCTTACATTTTTCAACAGTATTTTTTTTTTTTCATTTCAGCACTAAACAGGTGTGATAGAAAAAAAGTTCCATCAAACTAGGAGTATAAAATTATTATTTTAATTTTGATTCATTAACCAGCGAACGTTAGTAACTGTAAATATTTTAACTTGTTGTTCTTTATTATTTTGAAGTGCAGGAAGTACAGAAAAAGAAGTTGCAGGCCCAAAACGGCCCGCGCGCTAGTTCAGTTTTTGCGAGATGCCAAACAAGAATACGTGAGATAATAAGGTTACCTTCACATGAAAGACTCAAGCTGATAAACCTGGTTCAATATATGTAAGTTTTTGGCAGTTTAACTTAAATAAATGAAATAACCATTTTCCGGTTTAAGAAAAAACTGGAAAACTTTCCTCAATTGCAAATATCTGTAAAATTTTTGATTCAACCAGACATTAATTGGACAGAAAATGGATCCAGATGATGGAGAATCCAATTATAGCTAACTTCTGCACTATATGACATTTTTATTTTAAGCGCATACATCCCCAATGGAGCAAAAACGGACGAGAGTTGTACGGCTTGTCGCGTTCCCCGGAGCGGGCTGTTTTATGTTTTCTTTAATTTGGGATTTTAATAAGAGCCAAAGCTTAGTGTCCCTTTGGGCTGCATTCCTCACCAAATTACACTAAATCCTCTGTATTTGCAAGAGCGTCACAAGCGAAAGGTCAATTACTGCATTTTTCAGAGCGGGTACAAAATTCGGAGCCAACAACTCCAAATTGCGTAGGCGCATTTTGTGCTCACCTTCATTGCAATCGTTAGTCAAAGTGCTCCTGAAAAGAGAAAGAAGGGAAGCTAGTACCAAAAAGTTAAAAAAAGTCAACACCTCAAAACCATTCAGATTTGCACCTAACGATAAAATAGTGCGAGCTTGCAGTGATTAGTCTACGCGACAAAAAAAATTTCAAAAAGTTCAGGATTAAATTTCCGTCTTCTATTGTTGCATGGAACACTCTATTGCATTACCCAAAAATTCCTTCTCAAGAACCACCGCGAGGATTGAGCGTTTTTTAAAACCTTCCTTTGACAGTTCTGAGGATGCTTGTGCTATTCACGACTAAAAACAAATCAAGAGTTCTTTCTCTGCTCCCTCGTAGAGTGTGCCCTTGTCTGACCAAATGACTGAGGGAATACCGCCTCGGGTAACGAAATTTTTGATTCTCATTGCACATGAGTTCGTGTCCATGGATGAGAACATCACATTATATCTAGACCTTGTCGTCATACATGTAAAAAAGAAATATCGTCGCTTCTCAGAAATATTCCTGATGGAGACGTAAAAGGGTCAGATGAAACCAACGCTACGATTTGTGAAGGATGGCTGGCGATAACCAAACCACTCTACTGGAAGCTCTGCCATCATAGTTGTGACGCGTTTCCTAAAGAATTCCAAAGGACTTTGTAAAGAGTGGAGCTTCAAGATTCAAAACTCTAATTGGATAACAACACGATATAGCTCAAATGTTTGACAACTCTATCGCTGGACAGGAGTAAGTATTCCGTCAAACTGATTCAGATGGTTTGGTTATTTCCTTAGTTTATTGCCTTAAGTAGTATGCATATAGAACACTATCTATGATCGGGGTGGGTTGTCTTACATGGATGACCATTCGGTATAGATCCTAATGATTACCATGCAATATCTGACAACCATGTAAAAACCCTAATTGTCAACATTTTGTAATTATTCGTCCTCAAGTAAATTTTCGATTTATTATTGAGTTTCCCATCAAACGTTGTGTTTATATGTTTGGTGTTGGAATGGATTTGCTCAATCTTCGTTCCATTAACAACTGATATGTTTCACTGCGCTATTTCCGTTACTGTAAAATTTTCTTAAAAGTTTGATTCAATTTCAATTGACGTACAAATAGATTCAAAAGTATGCCAGAAACGCAAGCGTTTAATTGAAATAATTTTATCCCCCTTTAACTGGGTTCCAAAACTGGAAAAAATCTCGCCCTTAAATACGCACTAAACACGGAATAGCGGTAGGTCAAGTCTTAGGTACACACATTGCTCTTTTTTAATTTACAGATTTTTATTTAATTTACAAAACTTAAAATGTTCTTGTTTGTCTTTTAATTTTTTCGTTGATTTTTTGATCGTGGTTCTTCTTCTTCAACTGTTTCATAATCGATAAACGAACCGTTGAAGAATGACGACTCGTACTTGTCGGAAGAATTGATTTCTGCTGCCCAAATCATACCAGGGTATGGAGTTTGTTAACTGCTATTCACCTGGTCCATGGGTTGTCGAAGCGAACGATGTGGTTTTGTATTTTCAACAGCAAAGATATCCTCAGAGTAGTCATCATCATATCCGAATGGTACCAATCAACGTTTTGATTTTTAGCAAATTCTTCAGACACCCCTTCTGAGAAATCCTCACAATCGCAGGACACTGTGTGTTGACCATCTTCAGAAAAAGAATTCCATTTTTTCAAATCGTCATCATCAGTTAGATCCGATTCTGCGGCAGCGTTGTTATCATCGCTATCATCAATGCCAATCGCGGTTTGACCCACGATGTGGTTATTACCAAGGGAAGAGTCTCTTGACCCTCATCGATGATGTAACGTTTGCCATCAAAAGCTGAGAACGATGTTTTCGTCGATGCCACAGTTTACCGGTTGTGTGGCCCGGATGTGATTCGACAGCTTTTAGTTTTGAATAAAGAGCCAGAGTTCAAGGTGTTTCAATATTGCCGATGAGTCAACATCTTCTGAGCAGCTTTTGATACACACTAGCTGATAGTTTTCTGCGGTCTAAAAATTAAAAAAAAATGATTACTAACCCATTTAACGATGATCACTAATGAGTGGTAAAAGTAAATGAATATTTTTTTAGTGGCTGCTATATCAACTTGAAGTCCAGGTGCACCAAGAGGTGGCCTGAAGGTAAAATATGACCTTAAAATTCAGTGATCATCAAAAATGTCCAAAAAATCAAAATTGGTCATCAAAAAAACTCTCGTCAACAAAAAAAGGGAAAGAAAAATTTCCCGCCCAGAATTTTGTTCAAATCAGAATGAGAAATTTTCGCTGACCAAAAAAAATTCCGCCAAAAAAAATTCAAAAACTAACAAATTTCGCCAAAAAGTAAATTAAAAAATAAATTAAGGCAGATAAACATAATTACCTGTGAAAAAAATGGGTTTGAGGGATCTAAACTCGGTTATTATGTCCCATGGAAATTCCGCCCTGAATTTTAAAACAACCATTTTGTTTTTTGGATTGTAGAGAGGGTGGTTCTGCGGTATAAATCTTCACTTTTATTTCGTAATTCCGTATCAGAATTGAGAAGATGAATCAAATTTTTTTTTCACTCTAACTTGATGAAATTTATACATGCCAAACATTGCTAATTCGAGAACACTAGCTCTCACAATTGTCGGCTCATCCCAGTAAAATTTTGTTGGATTCGAAGTGAACGCTGCCCAGTTTTCCCCAAAAAGTTTGTAGGATTTGAACTCGAATGCACATTTTTTTCGAATGGTGTCTTGATAATCTCAGTTTATGCGAACGAGCATCCGTTTGCGCTTTGATTCGGATGTTTTCCTATAAGCACAGTTGTTTAAAAATTTGTAAAAATCCTCCTCAAATTTGTTTCTAGCCTCTTGGCGTTTAGTCTTATTTAAAGTAATACATGGTTCCATCCATTGTCCTTGTTCACACTTCAGCACACGGTGCTCTTTTTTGATTTTTAATCCCAGTTTAACCTACAAATGCAAAAGTTTGCGATGAATTATTTAGTTTGACTTGTCACACAACTTCTGCAGTAAATTCTTGGTCTTGCTTATTGAACGTCTTGCAGTTTCTTGATTTCTCATCTGCCCCAGCAAATTTGTTTGTTATGGTTTCAACCAATCTTGGGGTTCTGTTTCTTTGATAGGAGCTAAAGGGTTATCCTGATGACTGACATGTAGTTCTTATGGATTTCGAGATCAACTTCTAATATAAATCCAATTAGAGAGTCTTCAGAAATTTTAAGAAATTGTTTCAATTTTACTTCGTCTTCTATATGCTCTCTTTACTCAAGGTTACGCACCGGTAAATTTTTGCATAACGCCGCCATAGAGGTCATTCGCGTCGATCATAAACCCATAGGTGCTAGATGAATCTGGGTTCAAGTCGGGGCTTTCTATGATGTTTGCTTTGAAAAAGAGACTATAGAACACAGTTGCAGTGCCACCTGGCATCTTATTTTTGACCATTTCAAGGTGCCTGCGGTCTGTTATGAGCTGACCAAACTAGTCTTTGCAGAGACGTTTGAAGATGTCTCCAGCTAAGTTGGAAGTAATAAAATGGTGCGCGGAGTCCAGGCCAAGAATTTGGTGACTAATTTTTCGAAATTCTTCAAAAACGCATGCAAGAAGTATGATGAGGTCAATTAAGTTTTAAGAGATAGTAAACGAATTAACCATTTTTATTTTTATTAATTTTTTTTAAATTGAAAACTTGAATGAAGTTTGAATACACTAAATCAATCTTGTTAGGTCGAATTTATTTTGGACCACGAAGGTTGCCAGTAAAAAATAATATAAACCCTGTCTATTAACTACTGTAAAGTTTCCAAACAACAATTATTATCTCAATAACTCAAAAAATTTGTAAAGTATTGAGCGGTCTTTCGGTTGTCAAAGAGCGTGAAAAAAGGATCAAGTTAATTATTTTCTCCTACTGATGTCACGATTCTTTTTAGTCGGTTTCTACAGTTATAACAAAGGATTTATAGGGTAACTCTCTAATCAAGAGCTTTTTAACCATGTGTAAAACAATCTCAAAAACTGCTTTTTCTGGGGGTTCAGGGGGTCAACTTATCAAGTTGGCGGAAAGTAAAACAAGATCTTGAAACAAATAGCTAGCGTCTATAACGAGTTTTACGCGTTTTCTGCATCTACTCTGCCTCTACTCTACCATTGCCTAATTCTTATGGTTCTCGTTAGATCGGCTCGACAAAATATTTACTGCCTAAAAGCTTTCAGCCAAGCAGAGCCAATTGAGTTCAGTTTCGTTTTTTAAAAAAAATAGTGAGCTCTTGGCTATGTCTCAATGTCTCCAGATACCGAGGTCACTCATGAAACTAAGGTTGATAAGCTATTACGATTC